GGGCGCTGGAGCCTCCTCGAAAGAGGCAGAAGCCAGCGGGACCCTGTGCCCATCTCCCTCCTCGCTGCTGACCGTGTGGTCTCTCCATCCAGCTCTGCAGGAGAATTTGGACAGACAGCTGTTCGGCCAGCACCTGGTGAACAAGGTGGTTGTAAAGGCCGTGAAGGGCTTCTTGAACAACAGCAACGCCAAAAAGCCTCTTGCCCTTTCCTTGCACGGGTGGACTGGAACAGGCAAAAACTTTGTCAGTAAGATAGTCGCCGAAAGCATTTATGAAAGAGGTCTGCAGAGTAAATATGTCCATCAGTTCGTGGCAACTTTACACTTCCCTCACGCTCGCAGCATCAACGTCTACAAGGTAAGAGTGTGCTGTGGAACCCGTGGTGGTGGGGCACAGCTCTGCTGCAGTGGCTGCTGTATTGAATTATAAATGTTATGGCACGATCAGTACTAGAAACCTAAATATTATTTTATTATGCAGTGAAGCGTAGCTTGTGTCAGTTTTGGAATCTTCTGTACAGAACTGGATAAATCCTAACATCCATCAGGACTGGTTTTCCCATGAATGTCAATTTTTTTGCATGTGTTTTGGGTCTCTCTCAAGGAAGAATGACATGATTAATTTTTGTTCTACGCTTTGCTTGGAGATGTGACTGACTGAAGGATAAGTGTGATTCTGCAGGTTTCCGTGGTTAGGTGGTATGCTGGTGAGCACTACCAAAAACTAACAGTTCATGGCTCTGGGAAGCCACCTGGTGACCTCCGCTTCTGTCAGGTACCACGGCAAGCTGAAGTGTGATCCCTGAGTCATGGGTGTACTTTTCAGTTTTATTGTACACTGAAGCAGGTAATTTAGTTTTTCCATGCATCCATTTTCCAGCTGTAAAACCAAATCACAAAATATTCTGTTGTCAAAAAGGTATGGATAAATGTATTTGGAATTGTTCTGTCAGTTTGCCAAGTGTCAGTGCAGCTCTGTAGGCAGGTGGATATCATGTGGAGAGGTAACTCAGATGCATGTTTTCTGGGTTTTTTTCCTTCTAACTTTGTTGACAGCAGAGTTTGAATGAGTACCACTGTGTTTTGTAGTACTAAATATTTATATTCAGTTTGTATATGTTAAAAATGGGAATGGGATGGTCTACAAACCTGATTTCTAAATGGAGGAAATATCTGTTTCCTCTTTTACATCTCACTTTTTTCCCTTCTTGCAACTGAGCTGTTTTAAAATAAAATGAATCATTTTCTGTGTTTGTTTCAAGGTCACTACACTTGGGAAACTTGCTGCCCAAGGCAATAGGAGGAACTATTGCTTCTCGTCCACAATCCACCCAATGCCACCTTCCTGTGCTGCCTCTGCAGTTGAGGGACTGAGTAGATAGTGAATACAAAAACAATGATGAGGCATTGAAAATGGTCAGAACAGTTACTTCTCATTCATCTGCCAGCAGATCAACCCTTTTTTTTTGCAATTACTTCATTATTGATCTGAAGTGTAACACTGCAGTGAGAGAATCTTTAAATACAGTAAAGTGTTAGCCCTTCTGAACAATACTGTGTTTTAAGAAGGGCTTGTAATTGTCTTCGTTTGACTTCTGGATGATTAAAACACAGGCCTGAGAACTGAATTCTGTTTCTACTTCTGCTAGTGACTGCAGGTGCAATTTCTCACTGGTGCTGTTCAGGTAGCAAATTTAATATTATTCGTAGCTTTGACACCTGAGGATGCTTAGACCAAAGTGCTGCCAAAAGTAATCATCTTACTTGTCAGGGGCTTTGCCTTGTGTTGCTGTTCCTTGGTGGTACCCATCCTTTGTCCTACTGTGCACTTTCATTTTTGCTGTGTTTACGGGAATATCTTTCTTGAGAGCATGTTTCTTGCTTATCCCCTCCTGGCTCTTGGTGTCTTAAAATTTTTCAGAACCAGCATGAGATTTTGTTGAAGTTTTATTTACAGCTTTTAACCGTGTTTTAGTCAAGAAGCCAAAGCTATGAAAATGACACAATTGAAATTACTTTTTCAGGACAAAGGTCAATAAGCAGAAGTGGTATTTTCTGTCTTTTCAACACAAACTCTTTCAGCATCTTTTACTTTTATGCCACTCAGGACCAGTTGCAGTCGTGGATTCGGGGAAACGTGAGCCTCTGTCCCAGATCACTCTTCATATTTGATGAAATGGATAAAATGCATGCAGGACTCATTGACTCCATCAAGCCGTTCCTGGACTACTATGAGCTTCTGGATGGGGTGTCTTACCGACAAGCCATCTTCATATTCCTCAGGTAAGAAGTGGCTTCTCAGGTTTCCTGTTCTGTACACTAGATGCCTTTCACAACTTAATTCCAGCTACTACAGTCTTTGTTTTCTCTTTGCTTAGCAATGCAGGAGCTGAAAAGATAACAGAGGTGGCACTAGATTTCTGGAGAAACGGGAGGACAAGGGAAGATATACAGCTCACAGATATCCAAAATGCACTCTCTGTGTCTGTCTTCAATAACAAAAATAGTGAGTAAAACTGTGATTGCTTTTGAGGTGGTAAAAGGTCCACAAAAGGGGTGGGCTGCATTTAGCTGCATTTTTCCAGCTATGGTTTCTACTTGATGTGGCCTCCAGTTTTTAGCTTGCAAGGACCCATGATGCAATTTTGGGGCCTACAGTTGGTGCTTGGGATGAAATGAAGGTTAAGGAGCTGTGCACGCACCTTGGCTACCAGCATGTTTGCTGTCTGTTGGATTGCATCTGTTGGGGGAAGTCTACGCTCTGCATTTATTGACATACTAATGGGCTAAAGGGAAAGCAAACAGAAATCCTGACAATAAAGCTAGATATTGCAGTAGATGAAAAATCTTTAACCAATAAAATGTTTTATTATGGGAAAGCCACAACTCACTTAGCCTGTCTTGCTCAGTCTGTTAAAAGCCTTCAGGCAGCTATTTAGGAGCAAGAAGCTGATGTGCCAGCCCTGCTGTGAGCAGGCCAGTGCTTCTGAGGTTTCCTTACGCAGGACTTCTGGTGAAAAGGGAGTTTAACATAATAATGCTCTAAAATTAGCGTTGGAAGCAAACTTACTGTACTTTTTAAAAAAGACTAGATGCATGCTCAAAAAAAAGGAGCAAGAAAGCTGGTCTGTGAGAGCTGAAAATAGAGATAAAATCTGTTCTCTAGGTGAGAGAGGGGAAGGTATGAGACTAGCACCTGGGGAGCAAGGGTTAAATGCGTTCAGTCAGAATTCATTCATTCAGCTCCAATGGACCACGTTTATGTGTTTGTCCAAAAATCTATGCACAAAGTACCATGAGAAGGGGATTGTATTTGGACTTACTTGTGTGTTATAGGGCCCTAAAAACAAAGGTGAATTCTTACTGGTATTTAGCAGAGGGCTGTGCTACACCTTTTGCTCCCATTGATCCGTGGTAGTGTTCAACTAGAGGAGTAGTAACAACCCACTTCTCTTTCCGTTTGTAGGTGGATTTTGGCACAGCACCTTGATTGACAGAAATCTCATTGACTACTTTGTTCCCTTCCTGCCTCTGGAATACAAACATGTGAAAATGTGTGTCAGGGTTGAGATTGAATCACGTGGCTATGCTGTGGATGAAGACATTTTAACCAGAATAGCCGACGAGATGACCTACTTCCCTAGAGAGGAGAGAATTTATTCAGATAAAGGATGTAAAACTGTGGATGCAAAGCTGGATTATTACTATGACTTCTAATGCTTTATTGCTACAACCTGCAAAGAAGCAAATTTAACTTAATCACAAAGTGGAGAACCCGCGACATTTCATTTTTAAGTACTTCTTAAAGAAAGGAACGTTATTTTTTAACTGGTGTAGAAATAAGTGGCAGTGCCTCTGCATTTTTATTCTGTCACTAGTCATGGCTCCCAAGTACTTCAGCCTTGTGTTGTCAAGGTAAGAACAAACTGCATTGTGAATGTGGGGGTCTGTGTCTGATAGTGCTGAAGATTCCTCTCAGATTGTGTGTCAGTCATCAGGCAAACCATTTGGCAAACTGCTGGCACGTGTAGGACTGAAATTATGACCTAATTTTAATTGGATTTTGGGTTGATGTGGATGATCTCTAGACAATGCTAAGAATTTTAATCAAAGTTCCTATGTCTGTGAAAGCCTTCATTGGGCTGGTGTGGGAATATTCCTATAACTGCATTAAAAGTAGGATATGAGTCTCTTCTCCTTGAGCAGCTTGGCTCCAGTAAAGATTCTGTAATTAAAAAAATCCAGAGTCTTCTATCCAACATCATGCAGTACCATTGTCTTTCTCAAAACAGTGGTATAATTTGGCCTCCTGCGTGTCAAACCAAGAATATGAAACTCTTCGATGTGAATAGTGTTCAGAGGGTGGACTTAATATTATAAGGAAGTGAGTTAAAATCCATGACTGCCACATCAGTATAGTTGGTTCCTATTTTTGGTTATTTTTTTATGTATAAAATTGCTCACAGCATGCTCTCCCAGGAGTGATCTCAGGAGGGAGAAAAGTGTGCTTTCTGACTGGTGAGCCAGCTTCGTGGAAAGGGTGTAACTTAATGGGAACAGGTACAGGTTAAATTTTACACCAAAGAAATGGAAAGGAGGTTTCTCCTCTTCACCTACATGTAGAATTCAGGGGCCAGCTGGCAAGGCTTTCCCTTTTTCATCTTCTCGAAATACTGTATGCCTCTGTGGCAGGGATGAAGACAGATCCAAAAGCATTTAAAAAAAAAAAAAAACTGTCAATTGAATTTACCGTAAAGAGTGTCAGACTTGTTTCTGAATGTGAGCACTGCACAGACTTTCACTCCAGTTTCTATTAAAAATAAACTTTTCTCATCAGAAATGTATTTCTTAGCTACTTTCTGGTGTTCTTTGCATTGAATGATTTGCTGTTAATTTTGCACAAACTTACTACTTGTTGAGGAAGAACGTATTATGTTTCTGACAGAAGTGTTCAGCTGTGCTTGAATACAGGTATCTCCCTCCTTGAGTTCAAAGGGAATAGATAGGAGATTTGACTTTGCTCCCTGGTGAAAGGGAAACAAATGGAGTGGAAACTGCACTTTTAGACCATCGGTACTAATTATACTTGCAGAGTTTTTGTAGAGGCAGACTTTCTAGATGTAAATGTGCTCAACAGTATCATAAGGATAAACTTGTCTTCTAGAGACCGGTTAAAATGCTGCTGCTTGTCTCCTCCTCCCACTGTGGTACCACTGACTGAACAACCTGCAGGCTCTGAAGCCACCTGCATTTTCAGTGGTAGCATCTTGACATTTTCTCTGCAAGGGGAAAAAAGGGGCCAGTAAGACTCCAACTGTCCAGTTCTGCTCTGAAGTTGAGTAATACGCAAATTATCAGTCCTAGTATTTGTCAGCAGATGAGTGCTTTGAACTTGGGTATTTATCTCTTTCTTTGACTGCCTGTTTATAGCAAATGACTGGCTAATGGAAAAAAGCAGACCTGAAAATGATAAACTTTTGCTACTGTCTGGTACCTTCTCATCAAAAGAAACAGTTCGGCCAAGCAGTATTGTGGCTCTTCCAGCATTAAGTACTCTTAGTGCTGCTTTGTATGCCATTGCAGCATCGATACCAGCATTTGACATACGTTGGTAGCAAGTATTCCATTATATCATAGTCCTAGATGGGTTAAGGTAGATGGAAACTTCTTCTAGAGGGTGTAGAAATGATGTTCAGAGGGCAGAGACTGCCTCTTTAATCTCTCTTATGTTCTTGAAAACAGCAGACCTGGCTAGGAGCATCTCCATCTGGGTAAAAGAAATATTCATGCCTGAAATCACTCCCAGATTTGATCTTGCCGATCCTGTTGTTATTCCTCCCCTTTAGACTGTATGGTTTCAAAGCCAAGGTCCTCTGCCTTTCTTGCTGTGACTGGGTAACTGGCCATTATTCTTTTTAATAGGCCACTTGAAACTGGATCAGACAAGTTAAAGGAGAATGTCAAATGGAGGGAAAGGTCTGATCCCTAGAGAAACAGTCCATCGGCCAGGTGAGAGTAGCTGAACAGTCGCGGAGACTGAATTTTGTTCTTACCAAAGTTCAGTACGAGCAACTGCTGCTTTAATTCAGCCTTCTGCAGGAAACATTCCAAGATCTCATGCTGTGCTCATAAAATTACAGGCTATGGTTAAAATACAGCGATGTAGTTAAGTGCTGTTCTCTTGACAGAAAGAAGCAGCCTGACCCTAGAGATTCATCTGCCTGACGCCCTGGGCCAAACAGCCAAGCTGTCGTGTGCGGAGGCATAGTGCAAAGTCCTGATGAACAAGACTGCTTTACGCTTCCCGTGTATGCTCCATAATGAGTTTCCTTGTGTATCATCACAACACATGGTTCACAACAGCAGGAACAACTGACTGTTCAGTGAGGTGCGAGTTGTTGCCAACAGCTGTACCTCACTTGAATTAGGCCATTATTTACACACTGGGTTTTTTTCAGTGCTAGAGAGGCTGCAGATGCTCTGGCCCGTGGAGATGCGATGAAAGCCTGTAGTGCTGTCATGCCTTTGCCAGCTAGAGGAGAGGTGAAGAGCTGCCTTGAATGACAGCTTTCCAGACATAGCGCAGAGAGGAGGAATAATTAAACAAGCTACTGGAGGTGTATTTGTCCTGCAGTGCCTGGCAGCATGGTAGGAGATAACTGTTAACAACTATGAAGCAGAGCAGGCAGAGACTTTAAGGCTTTTTCATAGGTATTTATTTCTACTGAGCTGCATTTAACTGCTGAGTTCTTTACTATGCTGTTGGATGACTCAACATGTTTTAATATCAACAGGCTATTTAATCTGCTTACCTATTGTTATAAACACATTTTTAAGAATAAAGGAAGCTTATCAGAAAGCTGCAGTGCAGCTGGTTGAAAACTGCATAAACTAGCTGAAAATGATTAAACCAAGACAGAAAAGTGACTTAAGATTTATTCCAACTGCAGTACAGTAGTAATATATAGTGTTTTGAAATTGCACAAGTATTTTTTGTTTGGAGTAACTGAAACTGGATGCAGCATATACACCTATAAACAAGTCAGTTACAGGCAAAACATTATACATGAAAAGCAACAGTCCAATGTCCCAAGGTTAATGGCTAGCTAGCATTTGGCTCTGGAGATTGCATCAGCGTGAACAGTTTGCCAACATTCGACAAATTCCATGTGTAAAAGGCAACTCACACTTTTAATTTAGAGCTTAACATAAATGCTAAACTCTGTTGTAATTTGAATTAACGTAATAGTGTTGAGACCTGTAAGTTTTTGCATCCTGTCTTAAAGCAAGTTTAAGTACAAGTGAGGGAGTAGATGCTGCAGCACAAAAATAGCCCAATCCCTCGTACCAGTTTAAAAAACACACTACAATCAACCAAGTGATAGGCACTTCTGTCTTGCACTACAATATTTGATCCACAAGTGATGGATGATAAAGGAGTTAAAGCTTGCAACAGAGTTTTAAACCCCAGCCCAAAGGTTAAATCGCTCTTTCCCAGCTTCCAAACTCATCACTCACCCTTCCACACAGACATTCTTTAACATTAAAAACTACTATAAAACATACTTATCTAGTGAGGTATGGGATTGTTGATTGCTCCCGTTTCTCATACTCACTTCTCTGTGGCTCTCTAGGAAGAGCTTCATATTTCTGTTCCTTACACTTCAGTATAAAAATACACTATTAAAAATAACTTCTGCCATGGAAGTGTCTCCCAAGCAAGGTGAGAGTAGCATTACCCACTTGTAGACTATTGGGTGCAGCTGGGAGGGACTACTAAAGATCTTGCAGTCTTCAGGCTACATGCAGATTAACCTCACAAGCTGTAACAGTCACATCCTCATGAGAGATTTTTCTCATTAAGAACAGGAGACTGGCCTAGTACGTCGTAACCGTCAGATCCCTCAGATGGGTCCCTCTGCTTAGGAAGACCTGGAGTTACCACACAAATTCACTTAGCCCCCTTAGTTAAAAGAATATAAAGTTTCTTTTACGATTTCTTTTTCCCCAAAGCAGCACGGGCAAGCAGTTACTTCCCCACTCACCCCCTTTCTCTACTATTTAGTAACAGATTTCCTGGAGCTCATGACTTTCCACATTACCATAGCAGGAGATGTGGTATGTTGCCACAGCTCAGACATAAACTATAATCATGCCCTTCTGTCCCTGAATAGCTGATGCTCATCGGTAGAAGCCACAACAGCATCAGTCTGCTGTGAAGGACAGGAAGCCTTCCACCATACCATCTTCTTACTGCAACGCATCAAGGTATTCACCCTTGCAGATGCTATCAGTCCTGAACACACCACGCATCCCTTCATTGCGCTAGCGCATGAATGAGACCATGTACAAGGAAGGGAATATGACTGCTTGGAACAATTCCTCTGTTCTCCTTTGCTCTAGTCTAGTTTTTGCGGAAAGAGGAATTAAATACTTAATAATCCCAGCACTTGGAAGAATAAAGCAGGAGAGGCTGTATCCAGTGCTGTATTTGTGTCATGCTCAGAAATTCTCTATAGATGAAAAGAAAAATAAAGGGGGCAACATTTCGATACCAGCCAGTTGAGATGAACAGAGGGATGTTAAGTTAGTTAAAAAAAAAAAAACAAAACAAAAAACTAAAAAGTCCACACAGCTCACTGGTATTTTCACTATACTCCCTGTTACAGTAAAAAAGCTTCAGTGCAAATACAGATTTCCAAAAGCTCTGAAGGTGCTTTGGAGACCTGAAGGGTAATCAACCCTTGGCTTTTGTATCTCTCATCATAACATCTTCGTGAACATCCAGCTTGGCCTGTACAGTCTTGCAGCCTTTATCAGAGTAGATTTTCTGCTCTTTTGGGAAGAATGTCATCTCATCAGCCACTGCCTGAACAACCTTCTCATCAACAGCATAGCCACGGGCTGTCATTTCAGCCCTGACGCACATCTTCACGTGCTTGTGCTCCAAGGGCAGAAAGGGGACAAAGTAGTCAATGAGGTTCCTG